TTTCCAAACAAACACTTCTAACCAGTGCCTCGTGATGCCAACACTCTTTGTAAATCCCTTGTTATTCTTCTCCACATTTTTCTGCCCCCCGTGGCTCCCACACAGCCTGGCACAGAAAGAGGGAACTTGCAAAGTTCTGAGGAGCCTGAAAAATGTGAAGGAGAAGCCTCCAATATCTGTGTGTGTCTGTGAGTATCTTCTTGCTGTCTAATGGCTTCAGCTGTGGAGCAGGAGCAACCCTTGGGATGCTGTGCTTGCAGGGTGTTTTTCTCAGTACTCCCTTGCTGGCTCTATTCTCCACAATTAGCTCTATCTGTCTCTATTTCCAGCAGAGCAAAACTTCAAGATCTTGGATGGTCTTGCCTGCTGATATTCATATTCTTCTCATGACTGCTGGCTTTATGCGGACCACAGTTCATCTCTGCAGGGATACAGCTCTAACTGGCTCTTGTCTTAAACCTTCCTTTAATGCACTGTTTGTAGTTAATCTGTTTACAGCTGCTTCATTCCAGACCTTGCCAGTATGTTTTTCAAAAGAAGATACTAGTTTGACAAAATAAATGGAATCATTAAAAATACTACTGCAAACACAAGCCTTCATGAAATAAGGGAGATGCTGCAGTTGAGCAAGAAAAAGAGAAGAAAAAAATTCAGGATTTAAAAGGTAGATATAGGAGGCCCTTCCAGCATAGTTATTCTCTAACTGCAAAATCAGGCTTTGCTACAATGGCTGCCTTGAGCATCAGGAACATAACTCCAGGTTTTAATGTGGACAAATGATGTCCAAGTATTGAGAGTTGGACTCAATAATCCTTAGGGGTCCCTTCCAACTCCGTGAGTCTATGACTGAATAGTAAAGAGTCTGTGTAAATGCTTGAAGGTATTCTTAAAAATGCCTCTCTCCAAAAAACAGGTACTCCTGGGGTCAACAGGAGTCCTGGGGAAGAAAAGTGCACCCTCAGCTCTGCACACAGCTTCTCAGGTCCCTTCTCTTCCAACAATCTGGTGTAAAAGCAGGCTCTTCCGTCCTGATTTCTGTACACCTGCTCCTATTTGGCCTGAACACCTGTGGAAGGTAAAGCCCTTCACTTTATTTCCATGTGGCTCTACCTATTGTTGGTACAAAAAGTTACAATCAAGTTTCATTTGATGCCATTTCAGATGCAGTAACTGATATTTGAGGTCAAGGTCCTGTGCCTGTGCCAAGGTAAATAAATGTTGTGGACTTGCTCAGTGTAAGGGAGTTGTATTTTCTGGTCAAAAACTGTTTGGACACAGATGTATGTACCTCCTCTGTGACCTCCTGTTTTTACACTTGTTTTCAGACATCAAGGATGCCCCTTGGTAGCTCATCTGCAGATGGGCATCCAGTAGGTCAGCACAGGAGAGGTCTAACCAAAACCTCACGTTTTCACAAAAATACAGCATCAGTCTGAATGGTCAGAGCCACATACAGACAGGTTTGATTTCCTCAGTTTTGCTGATAAGGGTAGAAATGTGGGGGATCTTTAAATTTTTTTTTAATATATATACATATATTTTCAGCTCATCCTTCAGTTGCCTTTGCTATGGAAAGCTCACACTATGATGTCTGCTTGGGTAAGATTTTTGCAAGATGAAAAATGAGCATCTGAAAGTGTTTATTCAGTGATCAGTAAGTAGTTTTATCGGGGACTGATGCAATGTAGCTCCAGTTTTCCAACAGTAAACTCTACGTAGCCTTATATAATTTGGGAGGGAAAATCATCTCTCTGGTTTTCTAATATTTTAGTAAACCATGCATCTGTGTCCAAGAACTTTTCAGCTCATTAATTCAGCCGCAATATAAAATATATACAAAATTAGGGTATCGTTTTCAAAAACAGGCACCTAAAATGAAGTTTCTAGATCCATATTTAGACCCATGAATCTGATTTTCCAAGCTACTAACCACCCGCCAGACTGAGCAGGACATTGATGGGAGCTCAGCACTTCTGAAGGTGGCTCCACTCAATGACAGCATCCAACTTTCTGACAGCCTTCTGGCAGAGACAGTTTTCACAAGCTTCATAAAACACAAAAGGCCAAAACAACATGTCCTGCAATTATCCACACTGAAAAACAATCTTAATTAATAATGATATCATCGCTACTCCCTCTACCCTTAAAGTGCCGCTGAGAAGTTTTGCCTTTCCTTCATTTCTCTCCCTTCTCTCTAATACTTAATCCTGTACTTCAAGTTTTTATCATACCATCAACTTGATTTCAGTGCTGTTTGTTGTGTGCTGCGTAAGGTTTTACTCTTTCTTATCATTGGGATTACTCACCTTCCTATATGCTCAGCAATTACAGCCTCAGAGGACACACACTGTCCCATACAATATTCAGGTTTGGTTTTGAGTCTGTACAAAGCTGATCCCAGTGACACAGCAAAGATTTAGATAAGGTTTAAAAAAACTAACAAGAAAATTGAGATCAGATTTCTGCCTTTATCCAAATAAGCACATTAAGGGAAAAAATTGAATAAAAGTATTAAATGCTAAACTCACATAAGTTTAGAACATTCATTTGATGAAGTTAGACAGTTATTCATTCTCCTTTCCATAAAAATGCCACCTCTGTGTAAGACTGATCCTGTTTGTATTTAAGGTGTATACTTTGACCAAAAGTCGTTGGGGCCAATTGGAGTCAAAGTTTGATTACTAAAGCCAATTTTTTTTTCCCATTGGATTTGTGAAGGAGGATGTCAAATTTTGACATCTCAGCAAGGTGAAAATTTGAAGGAAAGGCCAGTTTGGCCTTTCCCAGAACTAAGACCCTACTGAAAACACAGCAGTACCTCCGTGATATAATCTATACATTTGGATTCCTCTATTTTGGCTCAGCTAGAGAGATTCCCTAATCAATTCAGACTGCTCAAGCTTAAAATACAGAACCTTTCTGTAATTGAAGGGGGCCTATATGAAAGATGGAGACAAAATTTTTAGCAGGGCCTGTTATAATAGGACAAGGGGTAATGACTTTAAATTAAAAGAGAGTCAATTTAGACTACATATAAGGAAGAAGTTTTTTAAAAACCTCACTTGTGTGGATGATGAAACACTGGCACAGGTTGCCCTGAGAGGTGGTGGATGTCCTGACCCTGGAAATATTCAAGGTCAGGTTGGACGGGGCTGTGAGCAACCTGGTCTAGTTGAAGATGTCCCTGCTCGTTGCAGGGGGTTGGCCTAGATGACATTTAAAGGTCCTTTCCAACCCAAACCATTCTTTGAGTCTTACTAGCCAAATACAAATGAGAGAGGGGAACCACACAAAATCAATGCTAAACTCAAGCAAATACCCAGTGTGTCAAGTTTTGGTGGAAGCAGGTGGAGCTGTGCATTTTCAACAGCTGGAGATGAAGCTTCAAGTAGAGTCAAGCAGCACGATTAACACCCAGTGCTGCCATTCCACTGTGCAGCAGTCGCCAGCCAGACGGAAAACAAATTTCAGTTTTCAAAACAGTTCAAGTCGGAACTTTTGTTTTTCCTACTTGTAACTCCCTTCTGTTGTACACGCCATCACCAACACTTTGCACCACTTCCATTTTTCAGCAGTAAATCTGAATGCTTGAATTCTAATTTTACATGGCACGCTGAACCACCTTTCAGAAACTCCCCAAAATTGTACAAGGCGTCCAAGCTGCTAATTCAGGCACTTGGGTTCAATGCTGCAAACGCTCGCCAGCCTCACCTCTGCACCTCTGAGAAACAGCCCCTCCTGATACTCCTCAATATTCTCACTCTGAGGACTCTGACAAGCAGCAAATCTACAGAATCCCACACCGCTCCAGTATGACACCTTTCCCAGTCACTGGTAGGTTTTGACCAGGATTTACAGTCTAAATTAAACAGGATTTACTCCACAAGCTCCTGCAGATTAGTTATGTTCTGAAAACTCTGACCTGTGGGAATTAGAAAAGGTAACATTACTTAAAAATAAAATATCACAAGGCTGAATAATTTTTCAGTGACATACTCAGGTCTCAAAAGAGCATTAAATATAATTTCTAGACCGGCCTAAAGAGCAAACCATGGTGCATGACAGAGTGGTTCTCCTGCAGCTCATCTGTGAGTTTAAACACAGATATCCTGAAACAACTTAGTGCTATTTACTCACTGGTTTTAAAAAAAAAAAAAAAAAAAAGTTTGAGCCAGTTGACAGTAAGTCCTGACTTGATTGGAATCCCTCAGTTAAAATCATCTAAAGCCCAGGGACTGGCATTCTATCTCAATCCAGCCCTTTTGTCACCTGTGCCACCTTGTAACTCTGTTCTTTTATTTTCCCAGCATCCCTGATTAATTCCAAATGTGGCAATGAGGGATCCTAGAGCACATCAAAGGAAAATATGGCACACTTAAAGCAACGTCCTGCCCTCAGATACTGACCAGGCAGCACCGCTTTGGCTTCTGAAACCCAAGGGCATGGCCTTCAATAACACCAAGTTTTTGGGTTTTATTTCAACACTACAAAGTTTTGTTCAGAATATGGGTGCAACCATCATTTATTTTAACCTACAGAAAAAATGATGGTGGGGTTTCCCCCCCAGAGCAGTTTTGCAACACTTTTGCTGTATTCTAAACATATAAAAAAAACCCCATATTAAAAACCTGCTTTAGATTCCGTTTAAAAATGTCAATTTGTACAGCACTGTGAAAAGTCACACAGACAGTTTTGCATAACAAAATGCAATTACAATTTCTTTCCATACAGAACTGGAGAAGACAGTACAAATGCAGGCCTGAGCACCTTTTCACTCTAGATACCTTACTGGCAGCATGATCATTAGCACTACAGAGCTCCTGCTGTAGTAAACAGCCTTGTCCCTCTCTTCCAGAGGAGCTGTGCTCATCAATGCCTCAGAAACAACCTTTTTGAGTGGAAAAGAGTGGAATGTGGATAGGAAGATCCTTTGACTACTAACAAAGTGAAATACTGACACCAACTTTAATGCAACACAGAAGAACAGCAACTTGCAAAAAAAAAATTGTTGAATGTTTTAATGCATTTTGAATTGTAATGAAGAAAAACATTTTACATCTAAAAACAAATTAGCAGAATAATAAAAAGTGGTTCCACATAACTTATAAATTCTTTTCCCCAAAAGGTAGTTTTCACAAATTTAGGCAACAAATAAGATGTCTCATTCCAGATCTTTCTGACTTTATATTATACACAAACTTTGTGAAAACTGATGTGCATTGCTTGAGAGAAAGACACAGAAGCTTGGTTTTGCCCAGTGATGAGTTTTCTGTGAAATTCTGCACAATACTGAAACTGTAACTGCAACTCTTCTCCATTTTATGAAATGCTAGACATTGTTCAGTGCTGAAAAACACTTTTTAGAACATTAAAAGCCATGAAATGCTTTCCACATATTAAGCCAACGTTGTATTATTCACCACGGCTCACATGTTTGCTTCAAGGGGAATGGCAGTTCTGCTTACCCTTCAGTACAGCATATAAAATTAAGCTACGTGATAGTTAAGTGTTCAGCTGATTTAAGTATTAGCCTGCTCATAAGAACGTGGCTCTAGCACCTTGTTTGCTTGATTTTTTCAAAATGAAACAATGTAATAACCCATTCCTGGTACCAGAGGACGGTCCCTCTGGTGATATAAAAAGTTTGCAGCAATGATGATAAAACTGCATAGAGTCCAGTGGTCCTGTATTACATATGTATTAGAGAAGCTTAAAGAGACACTTTAGTTTAGCAGGACCAAAACCAGTGAGCCTCTCCCCCACCTCAGGTAATAAAGGACAGCCATTGCTCAAGATACTACATGCAGGCCATGCTGGAGAAACTGATTTAACTGGCCAGACATTTTTCTCTCTATTTTTAAACATCATAAACCTTTGTAAAATTCTTCCTGTCACCAACTAAAAGAAAATGAGTCTTGTCTTCTTAAGGAATAAAACCTGTAACTCAACATTAAACAGCTTTACCCCAGAGTTAAAAACCCAGGAAACAAAAAAAGTGAAAATAAACTTTGACACCATCATTTAACTTTTATCAGCAGAAGACTTAAAACTCTGCAGCTGCTTTGTGCAACCTCACTGGTTTTGGTATTTAAGATTACTTCAGCACAGCTGTGTATGTATCTTGTATCTCAAAAGAAAAAAAAAAAGAAAAAAAAACACAAAAAAACCCCCAAACAAACAAACAAACAAACAAAAAAAACAACAACCCAAACCCTACAAAAGAAAAAAACAAGGGATCAAACTACTGTGATGACCTGTACTATAAAGATACTACATATATATCCTCCATTAAATATTTTGAGCTTCCTTAATGCTACACTCCAAAACTATGTCTAGGACCCCTGTTTTCCTAAAATTCCTCACTGATGCATTCATCATCCAATCCCATTGCACTCCCATGCCATATATATGTTAGTTAACAGAACCAGCTAACACATCTGTCTTCATGTCATTATAAACAGTGCTTAGAGGACATGAGCACAGCTGCAGTTTCACAAAATCATAATGATGAGATAAAACGCTCCTAATACTTCTGCCAACACACCATAAACCCCATAATTCCCACTGTAAGAGTGTACCCCTTGGCTTACCCTCACCCTTCATATTGTACTGTGATATGTCAGACAGTTATAGGGGCAGCATCTCCCTTTAGCCAAAAAGAGGTGTCTGTCTGAAGCAGCCTTTCTGTTCTTTTGAAGACATCAGCTGCCACTTGCATTTACTTACATCAGCAGCAGCTGCAGTGTAACACCCCACTGCCAGTGCAAAAAACAGCCAAGCACAGTGAGAGCAAAACCAGAGTAAGATCATTTGGGAGAAAGAAGGGAGACCTGTGTTAATTATCCCCTTCTGGAACAGGACAGGGACTGCAGCAGCCCTTGTCCTGGCTGATAACAGAAAGGTAACAGATGATGTTTACTGACTGTATTGCTCCACTAGCTTTATGTGTTAATTACCTTAAGGATCACATGTAGTATGATTGTCTTTCCTCTCCTGTCAGAGATAGTACTTCAGGCAGAGACCAAAAGTGCTTTTTTCTAGGCTACAGAGAGATTCGACACATCTTGACCAACATTCATTTTTGAGGTAGTACTCATTTGCTTTGTATTGCTGGCTCAAAATAAAAATATGGGAAGTGAACACAATTAAAAATATGCTCACTGTAGGTACATAAACTAAAACACCACCCCCAAAAAAAACCTATTTCCTTTCTGGGCAGATCACCAAAAAGAAGTAATCCTTCTTACAAAGGTCAGCTCACATTCACTGGTAAAGTCAAACTTTCATAAACGGTTTATAACAATAGCTATAAACTAAAGTGCTTCAGAATTTGTTTGACCAGATTTCAGTGATTAGAATTATAATATTCTGGATTTTTGCTAGTATGAAATGCAATGAGGTTTTAGAATCACTTTATATAAGAAGGGCAGAACAAATATTTTTCTTTTTTCAAAAGAAAAAGTACAAAAAGCATTACAAATAAACCTGGCAGTCTATATTCACTACAAGTTGCTTGCATTTTCCTTCTCAAATCTACTATTTCTCCAGTAACTGGAATAAAAATGGAGCTGAAGTTGCACTATAACGCAGCACTAAAAAAAGTATTCCAAATCAGATGCAAACAGGAAAATGTTTACAATCATACAACTAGTGAAACTCACACTTCATTTCAAAGTTTTAGCCCTGCAGATTCTTTTAAACACAAGGCAGATATGTAGAGTCATGGAAAAACATAACAGACTGCTATACACTGTCTACAGTAATTACATAAGTTTCACATTTATGTCACAAATGTAATGCCCTACTGTGTAACTACTGAATGCTAAATAACTTATGAACATTTATGTGCTCTATGCAACAGTGAACATATTGACCAGTGGATGCCAAAATATAAAAGTTCATACACAAGACAAACTAATCATTAAAAAAATCACATCTTCTGTACAACTCATGCAAACTGTGCACAATGTGGTAACAAGAACAACATTTGCTCAAGCCTCCCCTTATGGAAGAGCTTTTACAGCGGGAGCAGACCAGTGTTCAGAGCAGTCTGCCCAAGTGTAGAAGTCCATGGTGACACAAACGCAGAAACTCCTTCAGGATTTCATTTCTCCTGTAGCAAAGCAGGGATGTTGATGTTCCACCCGATAGCCTGACGATCAAACCCACACGTGAAGAGGTTACATATGGGATGGTCCTCACACCAGGCAGAGCAGCACACCATCCTCCTGTGCCCCTGTGACAGCCGGGAGACAGCAGCGTTACAGACACGGCACTGGGAAACCTCTGTGTCAGCAAGGCAAACTTGCCAGTGCTCATCCTAGTTTTTACAAACAGTTATTGAGGATCCTAAAAGTCACTGTTACCTTCATCTGCAAGGTAAGTCTTTACAGTTATGAGATCCAGCACTGGATCAGTAAGGACAGAGGCACAGAAACAGGTGCATCTAAACCTTTGAGATTTCCAAGGTGTGTTTGCTATCTTTTATTTGCGACAGCAAATTGAATTTTGATTTCGGAATTTTTATTTATAAAAGCAATCTTAAAATATGGAACTACTTGCTGGCAAATACGTTGTTACAAGCCTGCAAGAATAAGTGTCCATCATGTTCATAATTCAGAAGGGATAATACTAGAGCAGGAGGAATATCACACTGACAAGTTCAAGTCCAATAGTAACAAAAGTGTCCAAAATAGGATTCTGACCAACATTTAAGTTAAAAAATTAAATAAATAGATAGATAGATAGATAGACAGACAGATGAATAGATAAACTGTCCATGGTTTCAGTAGCATCAGTCTGAATGGAACTACTAAGGAAAAAAAAAAAAAGACATGCACATACACACAAAAAAAACCCTCAAGACTACAATGAACTAAAAAAAAAACCCAAATTAGAAAAATCCTAAAATAGACTAAATAAGTCTTAAAACTCCTTCCTAAATTCTGTCAAGAACTGCTGAATCAATCCAAAAAACACCTACTAAAGTGGCATAATCAATTAATTTCACTTAGTCTAATTTGCTCTATTAGTGATGCTTGCCATGCTAAATAGCACCACAAATGCACAAAGCTTGATGGGTGCAGCAAGGCTTTTTTATTATGTGGTACTAAATATCAAGAATGTACACGCATAAGCGTGGAAGAAAAAAAAATTAAAATTTATCACCGAATCGTAAAAGGTGAGCTCACAAAACTGACCCCCACTTTTTCCTTCTGTTCCTGCATCATGGAATCATAGAATGGTTTGGGTTGGAAGGGACCTTACAGATCATCTAGTTCCAACCCATCTACCATGGGCAGGGACACTTTCCACCAGACGAGCTTGCTCAAAGCCTCATCCAACCTGGCATATATATCAAATTAAACTCTGCGTAATTAAAAAAACCCAAAACACAAACACAAGAAAACCACCATTAAATCTCATAGTGAGCCACTTTCCTGACACAATTCACATCAAGGCATTAAAACTCCTCTGAAAGTCTCTTAGACACTTCTTCCGTTTCACTTTAGTAAGGAGAAAAAATTATGAAAGGCAGTCGAAACATTATTTGCAATTCCAGTAAAAAAGTTCAAAATGTTTCATATTTGCATGTTGGTTCTTTTCCGTAACCAAGGGCAGCACGTTTATTTAGACAAGTGTTGTTCATCATTCGTTCAGCTTTTAAGCTGGAGAGCCCAAATCCTGCTTTTAACCTTGTGTGAAATAAGAGCAGACGTACTTGAGGGCTATAAACACCCAGTTACCTGTCTGTTACTGCGAGGGAGCCGAGCTAATCGCACTCCTGACATGTCGAACAATCTGACCTGTCGGTTGTCATGTGGGAGGGCGATGATTCTTTGGCCAACACATACGTTAATCCTGCACAGAAGAGACAAAAGTAGGTTACGCGCGAAACAACGAGCCTGGCAAATAGAACCTGACAGCACAAATTTAAGCTCACGGGAACGGACGCAGCTGAATTTTTCCTGATAAGAATTCACAAATGGAAAGAGGAAAAAGTATTGAACCTTTAAGGTATTTTCTATTGTGCCAGATCCTCAAACAGCCTTAACATTTGCATCCCATATAAAAAAATCTCAGAAAAACAATGCTATGTATTTACTGAAAATTAATGCTGACTACACAAGCATTCTATAAAACCATTTCAGACCCTTCTCAAATTCTTACAAATCTCAACTCCAATTTTAGGGACTAAAATTAAATTTATATTCAGTGAATTAATAGAAAAGACTATTTCAGTTGGAAGGTACCTGCAGCAATCATCTATTCCAACTGCCTGATCAATTTAGGCCTGACCAAATTTAAAGCATGTTATTAAGGATATTGCCCAAATGCCTCTTCAAGACTGGTAGGCTTGGGGCATCGACTATCTCTCTAGGAAGTCTGTTCCAGGACTTGACCACCCTCTTAGTAAAAAAATGTCCAGTCTAAACCTCTGTGTCTCAGCTCTGGACCACTCCCACAGGTGAAAGAAATTATGAATTAATTAAGAAGACATGAATGAAGAAAAACAGTAAGAGATCTGCTTACCTGTTGACTGCAGAATCTGTACGGATTGTTGCAATAGGAGATCTCATGTTTTTCAAATCCCAGACTTTTACTGTACGGTCATCACTACCAGAAACAACATTGTCTCCCACAGTGAAAACTGCAGATGTCACAGTGCTAAACAATCAGAAGTAAAGAGAAAGACATTAAACTCTAAAGTTCTTTATTAAACTAAAATCTGATTTAGAAATTGTAATTTCTCTTCCTGTGTTTCCTTTAACATACGTCTTTTTTATTTTATTTTTTTAAAAATAATCTGACTGGCCCAATTGCTAAGAGAAGCAGCCCAACACTAGAGGCTCACTCTGGAGGCATCTTTCATATTCCACTGATCCTGATATGAGCTAAACATGTCCAGTCTTGAAACCTTAATTCACTTCTGAAGTTCTGCACTAATGTCCAGTAGTTATCAGACAACACAAACTGAATGTGTAGCATAGAGTACAATTCTTCCTCTTAAGTGCCTTGAGACTAGTAGTCAAGTTCTTTTCTTTCCATCCAAAGACTTCTGTAGAACTACTCCAGGAATTTGTCACTCCCTGCACAGACACTGAGGAGGTCCCCAATACCTACCTGAGGTGTAGCTAAAGCTATTTTGTACACACACATAAACATGCTGTAATCCACACACAGAGCCTGCCAATAGCTACAGCAATCTAGCAATTCCTAATTGTGATTTCTATTCCTGTTTTACAAGCAGGTAAGTCTGAGAGTCAGATGAAAAAATGGCAAAAAGTAGTAAGAAGGACGATCATACAGCTCTTTCAAATTTTACCCATTATGTCTATAAATGCACAAGGGGAGTCACAGAAAGACTTATGAGAATATTTGTAGCAACTGAAAGTGCAAAATACTACTTCCAGAAGAGATTTTATAATTAATTTTATTTTAGAATTTTATTATCTTTGTATTTTATACTTTCAGAAGACAGTATACTGCTGGGCTCAAATGAACAGTTTTCATGATTAGTCTATGGTGGGTTTTTTTAATCTTTTACCTTTGCTTTATATTAACCAAGTAAAAGCTTTTGTACTACTATTTTCATTGCAATTGTGTGAATTCCCAATCCATAACCAGTTATTTTCTGCCCACATAATGTACTAACAAAGCATTTCTGTCTCTCCCTACAATCATTAGGGAAGGCTTCTCAACTCTGTTTCTACAGATTTGATTTAATGACCTATCTTGTAACTTGGGTCACACACGTCAATTCTTAGAATTTAGTAATTTTAATTTAAGTTGTCAGTTGTTACTGTCACTTTTGTTGTTCTGCAGAAATTTGAATTCATGTCCTATCCAAGCTGCTGATTGAGATTAGCACAAGCCAGGTCACAATGGACCAGTTTATGCAAGCCTCTTAATTTAAATTGACACCAAATTAAGTTTTAATTAGGACGAAGGCCCACTTTATTCATGATACCAAGTTTCCTAATGCATTATTAGAGTGCAGCTAAGCTACCAGGGAGATGATTACAATAAGAACCAAGAGGTCTTTGACTAATCTTCTGTACTTTATGAACCAAAAGTCAAGAAGTTAAAACATACATGAAGGCTACAACTACTAAATCTCTTTCATAAGGCACCTTTGCACTTGGGAAGAAAACTCATTCATGTAGTTCGAGCTGCTGCACAACACAGTTGGCATTTCTTAGCACCAACCTTGTCTTCTACCAGCCCAATCTCCTTTAAATTTACCAACATCTATCTTCTCACTATTTCTTTACCCAAGCTGCAAAATATCTCAGAAAAATATTTCAAGCTTTCCCTTTATACTGCTGCAACACATTTGAAACACTGTTCTTAAGGTTAAAATTCTCTACTCAAGCTCCATAATTTGCACACACATTGGGAGACTTCCTTGTACACAACAGCATAAGGAATTCAAGTCATACAAAATTCTCCAGGTGAGTGCTGCCAACAAACAAATTTGATCTGTTTTCCCATCATACATTTTATTTCAATTACAGCTGGAATACATTGTGAAACTGTCTTAAAATAACCCTCCGATTTTGGGTGCTTTCTTTTTCAAAACTTTAAACAGCTTTCCAGCTTCTTTGATCTCATAGTGGTTCTCCTTTATCACTTATCACTTTCAAACATGGTTTCTTTGACTACATAAAGTTCTCTAATCCTTAGATTTATAATTTTTAAAATGAAAACACTCAGAACCATTGCCAGGAGAACAGAATGTCAGCTCAACCCTTCCTGCTCCTGTAAAATGAAGACTCCCAAAAGATAACAAAATCCTTTTCTGTACTGTTTTCAGCTTAACCATTCAGATATTACTGCATACACAAAGAAAAAGTTTGCAAAATAAAAATGCAATTAAGTTCTGCTGTAGCTCTCTGGCAACAGGGAAAGTGATAGAAAGACAAAAGGAAGGCTGCTGGTCTGTTTTCACTGACAACTTTAAAGGTGTTTAGTGGTCTTAGCCCTCTGCCCACCCTCAGTTTGTCCCTGTAAGGCACTGCAGGCTGGGATGTGCACTATTTGCAAGCACATGTGACTATGGAAACAGCCTTTTACATACGGAGCTTTGCACTTTTTACTGAACCCACTGTTTATGATCAGGGATTTTGGTCCCAGTTCCAAAGCAAACAGTGTATGGATATCTGCATAACACTTCCCAGACACTGTGCTTTTAACAAAATCAAACAAGACTCTTCTAGGAAAACCTGTAGATACACTTGATTCAATTCTCAAATATATCTCATTTTCAAAATAAGATTGCAAGATTTGAAGTTTTATGTAACTTAACAACAAGTCTAGAAAGGCAAAAGCAGTATCATTCTCACAAACCTGACAACTCTGGGGAGGGTTATCAGCACTTCATTGTCATCTGAGTAAAGACCAAGTGGTTTTTTGGCTAGTTTGTTTTGTTGGGGTTTTTTAATAAAATGGAACATATTGAGTTGATATTTAAAAAACCATATACATGTAAATTCAAAAACATGCACTACTGACTTAAAAAACACGAGCAAGTGCTGAGCTCATAGATCTTACACAGTACAGACCATGTTTTGTGTCCTCTGCTATTCCAGACTGGGGTATCTATTAATGTGAGATAGATGCATCTCATCAATTTTTTTCTTATTTTTGTCTTTGTTTGTTTTAATTAAAACAAAATAGCAACAAGAAGAAAAGCCACTTTCTATTTATAAACTAAAACAGGACTTCAGCCCAGCCAAAGGGGGATGTTGAGAAGAAAGGGAAGCAAAGTCTGTGTGGGAAGAAAGAAGTTAACAGAGCTGCCAATACACAGATAACCTTTCAAAAGTATTGCCTCTCTAACCTCATTCATATCACAAAAATTAAAAGCCTTCTCCCTATATTTTCATGTGGGTACATTTAATTTCTGTTTGTATTAGTCTTCAGATAAAACTCTGGTTAACATCCCCTTGGCTAAATTAATAAAAAGTGTCAACAAAAGATCATCAGACCCCATGTTAATTGAATGCTAGAAGACATTAGGTTTTTAATAACTCAAAAAGATGACAGGTATTGTAGGACATTAAAAAAAAAAACAGGCAAAGAGGAAGCAGTCTTATGACACTTCAAACTGTGGGTCCCACAGGGAGTTTGGTGTGCTACAACCATTCTCCAAAAAAGCCTCAGCCTCCGCCAAACCCCAGCAAAACTCATTTATCTTGTCATAGGGAGCAGCCGAGCGTGTACTTCCAGCTGACAGCGTGGCACTTCCTCACCACACACCGCTGCCTGGCCTCGCACATCCTGCTCCCTCCGTGGGTCTCAATCACCAGAAATACCGCGGTGCTCGCACTCCTCATTAGGCCGAACAGCTGTCTCCCCAGTCACACTGAGACACAGAACTGTTTTGCATAACAATCTGCTGAAATTTCACACATAGGGGAAGGGGGAAAAGAAACAAACATTGGAAATGCTGGACCATGAAATGCTGATGCAGAACCCTCGCTGGCAATGCACCAAAAAAAGAAGTTAACACTGCTCTTTCCGTTTTGATTTGCAACCTGAACTGGGATTTGCCACTGAATGCCGGGAGATAACATGGTTTTTGCACCCTTGGAAAGGCATCTACATACACACGTTAATCTGTGTGTGGGATGAAAATGGATAAAACCAGAGTTTTCAGATAAATTTATTCAAGGCACATCAAATTGTAGGTAAAATTTGAGCGCTCAAATATGCCTCTCTTGTTTCAAGCAGGAAAATTCAGAAACAAAACCTAAAGGAATCTCTATTTGGGATGAAATTTCCTGCACCAAGGGAACAAAGTGTATCCCCACCCTGAGCCATCTGCAGCCTGGGGGGAAGCCAGGTGTTTAAAACCTCCAGATATGGACAACAGGCTGCCCATCTCACAAGGAGATGACAGTGAACAAAGGAGTCCCAGGTAAGGAGAACACCAGTACCTCCACATTTGAGTGCATTCAGGTTTCGGAAGTGCTAAAAGCACTTGATTCCAGAAGGAGCTACACATAATTGCCAAAGTCTGCCTATGGATTTATATCCAAATACCAGCAAAGCCTTTTTCTCCAACTTGAGAAACAGTAAGAATGAACCATGAAGGAACAACAGAATCACAGAATCAATCAGGTTGGAAAAGTCCTCTGAGATCAGAGACCAACCTCTGAACAAACACCACCATATCAACTTGACCATGGCACTGAGTGCCATGTCCAGTCTTTCCTTGCACACCTCCAGGGATGGTAACTCCACAACCTCCCATTGGAATGGACAGCCCATTCCAATATCTAATCATCCTTTCTGTGAAGAATTTCTTCCTAATGTCCAACCTAAACTTCCCCTGGTACAGCTTAAGACTATGCCTTCTTGTCCTGTTGCTGGTTGCCTGGGAGAAGAGGCCGAGCTTCACCTGGCTACAACCTCCTTTGAGGTAGCTGTAGGGAGTAATAAGGTCCCCCCTGAGCATCCTGTTCTCCAGGAATTAACACAGAAGGGAAAGGAAGGGAATTCAGAGATGACTGTTAGCACTCAAGAGTCATTTTTTTTAGCATTTAAATCAACAATGTGTATTCCAGAGACATGTGTTTCATGACATTTAGAGAAAATTGCCAGTCTCCCTTTCTCGCTATCTTAAAAATAATAAAATGATACAGCAATAAAAACAGTAACTA